GCTGCCTCACTGGCCCAAGTTGGCACCATCATTGCGCTCTTCCCAGGTGAGGCAGATCAGTCGCTGGCTTCTGGACGGCTGCTCACGGCGGCTGCTGGCTGCTCACGGTAGCTTATGGCAGCCCACTGCAGCAGGGGCTTCAGCCTACACTGTTGCCGGTGACTCATGGCAGCCCAGCTCCAGGTCTAGCTGTTGTTCACCATCTTAGCTGTAGAGGGCACAGCGTCACTGACCCTCTATATGGGATCCAAACAGGGATCCTGCTTCTCAGAGCTGGCGTCCCAAGCCAACTCTTAATCAACGTGCCACTCGGCTGGCCCAACATCGAGAATATGGACTTCTATCATTAAGTGAAACATCCTGTTCAGGTTTGGGGTAGTTCTAGTTTTAAGAAAGCTCTATTTTAAGCTTCCTTGAACATTTTATTGATAACTTCATACGTTAGTTTTCTTTTCTCCTGAATAACCATATGTAGCTCATTTAAATATTTTCCATGTGATAGGTTTCCAGATCTTCTACCATTCTTGTTATCCTTCTAGAATATTCTTACAAAGATTATATTCTCTTTGGCAAGAAATTATTAAATATCCATAATTTGCAAGATATTGGTCAAATGTCTTGATACAAAGATGAAACACTGCCCCTATCCTTAATGAAAACAGCCTGTAGGGAAAATAGAGCACAGACTTCAGATACTGAGAAAGAGGGAGAACGAGAAATCAGTAATATTACTAGAGCAGAAGCTCTTTTTAACTTCGTATGATTGCTTTGACTTCATTTTTATTTTGAGAATGTACAGCCTTACCTGAATCCTCGCCCCAAATTGGAAATACAACTCAGAAAGAAATCTTTATATCATGTAACCTCATTATGAGATAGTTTTCAAAGTCCACTCTTGGAAAAGGAAGGTAATATGATCTTTTGCACTTCTGCAGTGATTAATTTATTGAAGAGGTTTTCATGTAGATCTACATCAGCTTGAATTTTATTTCTCTAAAACTGTTGTAGTGTTTTTTTTAGTATAACGAAACCATTGTATTTTTTCAATAGTTGCTCTTGCAGAAAATAAGTCATATGAAGGTAATTATTTAAAATATAAAAGACACAGGTACCTTATGATTTACTTGTTATTCAGTAACCTATTATAGGTCAAGCCATTGAAAAAGGAATAGTTGTTTCAAAAAGAAAAATGCTAAAATTGGAATTTTATGCCCAGAAATATCTCTGTGGAAAGTATAGGCATTTTCATTGCTTTAAGAATCTTCAAACACTGCTCAAAATTGGAGATATCTGTCTCAAAATTTTTCATTGCCTATATCTGAATGAATGAATGCCTCTGGGAGTCTAAATAATAAATTTAGGGAATGACAGTTTTATGATGTAGTTTTAAGTTTTCCTGAAATTATAAAAGTCAGACATACACATGGTTTTAAAAGTTTTTAAAAATAAAAAGTACAAACCTTTTATATTAGTTTCCAATGGCTGCCATAATAAAGTACCACAAATTGAGTGGCTAAAGACAACAGAAATTTATTCTCACGGTTCTGGAAACTAGAAGCCCAAAATCAAGATGTTGGCCATGCTCTCTTCAGAGCCTCTAGGGGAGGATCCTTTCTTGCCTCATCTAGATCCTGGTAGCCCTGGGTGTTCCTTTGCTTGTGGCAGCATAACTTCAGTCTCTGCCTCCATTGTCACGTGGCCTTCTCTCCCTCCCTGTCTCCTGTTTCTTCTTATAAGGACACTAGACATACTGGATTAGAGCCCACCCTAAAGACTTCATTTTAACCTGATCACATCTGCAAAGATCCTATTTCCAAGTAGGGTCACATTCACAGGTAGAGCGTTAGGACTTCAGCATATCTTTTGTGGGGACACAATTCAACCCATCTTCTTTTCCCCCATCTCTGGCCCTTTCCCCAGGAAAACCTATTACTGTTTTCAGGTCCTCTAGAAATTACTCACGCGCATCTCTATTATTTAAATCCCTAAGTTTGAAGTTTTCAGATTTAGATAGTGCCTGTCAACTTCTAATGATGACAAATGACTTTTTCTTTCAAGTTTCTTTTTACATTTTGCTGGAGGAATTTCTTCAGAAAGGATGCCTGAGAAATACTTTCAGAGCCATTGCTATCTGAAAATATCTGTATTTTGCACTTCATACTTGACTGTTTGGGTGAAAAATTCTAGGTTCCACAGGAGGGTATACTCTTGCCAACGAGTGAAGGGAGAAGAAAGGAAGGTTAACAGGCCCAGCTACCCCACAGCATTCTCGATTTCTACACCTGTCAACTTGGAGCTGGGAACCTCGCTGGGGCTTTCCAGGGAGTGGTGGCTCCCACCTCTGATACACTTCTCTCTTCCATATGTTTTCAGGTTGTGGATTTCCCTGTTATGGTTTATCCATCCATGTAGTCTCACCTGCTTTCTGTCTATTCCAGAAATTTGTCAAATTACCTGCTTTAAATATGGCATATGATTGATGCATGCTCCTTATAATGATTTTAGCTAAGTTTTGGAAACTTCTTTGAGGCCTCTGCAACTTCAACATGAACTCTGATGTTTTGCCAGCTCGATTTTATTTTGCTCAAGTAGTCACATATTGTGCTGCAAAACTTTTCCTTTGATGTCTTTCTATGCCTGTTTTTAAGTATTTTGAAGACATGTTGCTCTTGCCAAAGTGAATTATCACTGACCTTTTGTTTGTTACTTATGTAATAATCTTATAGATCACCAAAGAAATTATCTTTCCCTTGCTGAGTATTTTAGTATTAGTCATTCCTTTTGAAAATATCATATTTTTTCCCCCACACAGCAAATGTGTAAACTTTAATTTTCACAGAATAACTGTCACAATTAATCTAATTTCACTTGTATAAGTAAAAGAATTTATGTCTCAATTATTGCCCAGTTTAATTTCCATACTTGTATCTTACGTTATTTTTATGTATAGTCACTCTCTAGAAATGCTTTGTAACAGATCCTTCCTTAGCCTCTTCAACACATCCATGTATAGTAGGTGTGGATGGATGGTAATACCTAACAGGAAAATAAAAATACAGAGAGTTTGGGTGATTTGCTACAGTAAGTTGTAATTGAAACAAGATCCTGAGTTTGATATCTTTACTAATTCTAGTCTTTCATTCAGTTATAGAAATGACAATGTCTCACAGTGACTATGGCACAAACATGATGTCTGTTTTTATTTCACAGGTAACCCTATATCATTTATTAAAACTGTTTCAATCAGACACCAATGCAATGCTGGGAAAAAAGACAGTGGTTTCAGAGTTCTATGATGAAATGGTAAGATTTTATAATGAGAGTTTTAAAAACATTTTAAATTATAGAACTTCAAGGATATTGGGCTTTTTTTTCATTCCCATTATCTATCCCATTAGATATTTCAAGACCCAACAGCAATGATGCAACAGTTATTAACAACATCTCGTCAGCTAACATTAGGAGCCTATAAGCATGAAACAGAATGTAAGTGACATGAGTTCATAATTTTTATTTTATTTTTTTATGAAACACAAAATACCTTTTAATTTATTCTTCACCGTGTGGGAATGCCCGCTATAGACACAGATACAGGTTCTGGTTCCTTAATTGTTTTTTTTTTTTTTGAAAGAACTACTCACTTTTTCCTGCTCCATTCCCACGCTATACTCCACATCTCATGACTATATATGTATTAAATTATAGTTGACATATAATATTATTCAAAGGCCGCTTCAGATGTACAGTGCAGTGGTCAGGCCTCTACACCACCCATGAAGTGGTCTCCCTAACACGACATGAGACCATCTGGCCCCCTAAAAACTATTTACAACATTATTGATTATATTCCCCAAGCTGCCTTTTCTATCCCTGAGGTCATATTGTAGTTACCAATTTATGTTGTCCCATCCCTTCCCCTTCTCCCTCATCCCTACCCCGGTCCCATCTAGCAATCATCAGTGTTTCCTCTGTGTCTCTGAGACTATTTCTGTTTACAGTACTCATTTATTCAGTTTTTTAGATTCCACATATAAGTGAGATCATTGGGTATTTGTCTTTCTCTGACTGACTTATTTCACATAGCATAATGTTCTCTAGGTCCGTCCATATCGTTACACATGGTATGATTTCCTTCTTTATAGCTGAGCAATACTCCATTGTGTAAATGTACCACAGTTTCTTAATCCAGTTGTGTACCGATGGTTGTTTCCAAGTCTTGGCTATTGTAAATAGCACTGCAATGGACATAGGGGTGCATTTTTTCAAATTAGTGTCTTGGGTTTTTCTGGATAAATAGAATTGCTGGGTCATAAGGTAGTTTCATTTCCAGTTTTTTGAGATACCTCCATACTGATTTCCATAGTAGCTGCATTAATCTGCAGTCCCACCAACAGTGCACCAGGTTCCTTTTTCCCGACAACCTCGCCAGCACTTGTTTGTTGGTTTATTGATGATAGCCATTCTGACTGGGGTAAAGTGGTATCTCATTGTGGTTTTTATTTACATTTCCCTAATCATCAGTGAGGTTGAACATTTTTTCATATGCCTGTTGGCCATCTGTATGTCCTCTTTAGATAAATGTCTCTTCATACCCTCTGCCTATTTTTTAATTAGGTTGTTTGTTTTTTTGGTGTTGAGTTTAATGAGTGTTTTATAAATTTTGAATATTAACGCCTTATCAGATATATCATTGACAAATATCTTCTCCCATTCAGTAGGCTTCCTGAGGTGGGGGTTGTCACTTTGTGAGGGGTGAAAAGGATAACTGTTGTATTGTTTTGTACACCTGAAACTAATAATAAAAACAAAAAAGAAACAAAAAAGTAAAAATAGATAAGAAAATGAAATATTTTAGTATGTGTGCTGCCAAAGCAAGTATGAGAAAATGAAATAAAAATAAGTATGAAGATATATATTTTAACTATGTTTATGTTAATTTACTCATATTCATAAGATCTATTAATTTGTACCCATTTTTACTGATAGATAAATTAATAAAATAACAAGTACAACAAAGTATATTTTGTCTTTAGAATTTCAACATATTTTCATTAAATTAATCTCAATTAGAAAACAGTGGTACTGAAAGGACAGAATTTAGTGCAGAAGGATGTAAACTGGGAACTTAAAATGAAGATTTGGAACAGAAGGAAAAAGACTGAAATGTGCAAACTTGAAGAAAATATCTAAATAAACACATTTAACAGCAGCTATTTCTAAATACTAATAATATGATTGATTGGTGGCTAGATTGTTACTTTTTTATTTTGGCTGATGTTTGTTTTCCAAATTGCCTAACAAACATACATTTTAATTTTGTTTTAACAGTTTTTTTTTTTTTAATTTTTTTTTTTTTAGCTGAGCCATCCTGCCACCTGTTGGCAGCTCAGCGGCAGCTCAACTCGGGCTGAACTCGAACCGCTGTTGCTCAGAGCTCAAACCCTTGAGCGAGCTCTTAATCAACTGAGCCGCTTGGCTGGCCATTAACAGTTATGTTGAAATGGTATAATGGTGTACTTTATTGTAATATCAATTTTTAAGTGGTTAAATATGCTAAAGTAGTGTGTATGTGTGCAATTATAATAAACAAGCATGGATATTAGTTTAAAAAAATGAGCTCACTTTTTAATCATTTTACTATTTATACCATAATCACATTTAAATTGGCAAACTGCTCTCATGATAGACAGAGACCTGTCATGCAACGAAAAATAAGTGAAGGTTTTCATAGAGCCTGAGGAGAGAAGTACCACATAGGGGATGGCTGGGATGGCTGCAACAATCTCATACAACAGCACCCAGGTGTGTGAGTGGGCAGGTGGAAAGGTACGCCAGCAGTGGTTGCCTTGAGATCATTGCTGTTTCCTAAGGGGAGTTTCCTAATATGCTTGGTAAGCCGATCACTTGTAACACAGATGTAAATGAAATAGGGTGACACTTTTGCAAATTGTGCAAGTTCCTGGGCAGGTTCTATAAATCACATCTGTGATAAATGGTTGCTGAAATTATGGTTCTGCTAAGGTCATCCCATAAATAGCTATCCAGGGAAATTTTATAACCAATGAAATTCTTAGGCCAAAACCAAACAGCTACACATACCAAACCTGTAAACTAAAATGGTGCCATGTCAGGGCCTCTGAAAGAACCAGAGGAGAAAAGATTAATCAAACAGAAGATCCTTATCCTTCTCTTTAGCCTGAATATTCGCAGGCTCCATCGCCTCTCCAGTTCCCTTCTGTTGCTCCAACTCCTCAGACTTTTCCTTGAGAATCTTTTTCTTGTGTATTTTCTTTAACCTATTGGGTTGTTGGAAAAGTCATGACGCATTTTTGCAACAAAAAACCAGAAAAAATACGTCATGACTTTGCCAACAACCCAACAGAACTCTTCTCACTCTTTCGTATTCAGCTCTGTGGTGATATAAGCAAGGGTACGTTCAATACAGGGAATGATGACATCTTCAGTGGCATTTACAAGCCCGTTGGTTGTCTTTTTTTTTTTTCCTTTTACTAAAAGCATTATGCTCTTTTCCTGGATATTTGGTTTTTTTCCGTTGGTTATCTTAATAGCTTCATCCAAAGTCGCAGAGGAAGTCTGCAGCGAGGCTAGTTCCACCAGTTGTTCCCCACCTCTGGCTAAACCGATCAGTTCCCAACTGTCACCTCCTTCATTCATGGTAATGTTCCAATACTGGCAAAGTAACACCTGCTGCATTATCTTTCTTCGCTGAATCTTCACTTCGGCTTTGTTTACATTTTGGATAACTGTGGTGCTGAAGTCCCCTGTGTGAACTTGGCCTCAGCAAGTTAAAAGGCAGCTTCTCTCATCACTTTACCCATTAACATTTAAGTCTCTGTGATCTTTAGATCTATTGAAATCAAAGAGTTAAGGCACCAGATTTTTTCTTCAGGAGGTTTTGGCTGTCTGTGCCCCTTTTAGTCGAGCCTTCATGATGGTCTGTGTGCTATTCACAAAGGAAATATTTCAGTTCAATCTTTGCCCATCGTTCTGATGATGACTCTTTGGCTCCGGTCCCTGGCCAGGCAATCGTGACTGCAACAGACCCAGCCACAGTGCCTTTCTCCACCGAAGTCAGGGGTTGTCCATGAGTTCATAATTAATCCTGAAAAATAATGTGTTCTGTAATGGTGAAAGGATTGTATGGTTAGTAACTGTGAAGTTTTTTTTTTCTAATGCTATATATAGCTAAATTTTTTAGGAATTAAAAAATAAGATATGTATTACCACAGAACAAGTAAGAGTGATATTTTAAATTGTTCCTAAAGTCGGCCTACTTTTAAAAATATGACAGCCTCTCACAGTCTCTGAAATACTGTTTGTCTTTTATTCCCTAATTACATTTAAGCATAGCTTTTCATTAATCTTGCTTAACCTGTCACTCAGCCATTTTCTCTTTTACTAGTCTTTGCTAACAAATCTGCGTAAAGAACCTTGCAGAACATAATCATACTTTTGTGTGCTGTGAACTAGTTTATCTCTTTTTTTTTCAACCTATATCATTTTACATAGTTTCAGATTAATACTAAGGTGGAGAATACCAGAATGCCACATTGATAATCAGTCACCTTATATTTTCCCTCTAAGCTGGCATGGCCTCAGAATACACTACACATCTCTCCATGCACCTACTATCCATCATGTGCACTTGGCACTCAAGATGAAACCTATTTGCCATCCCTGTGCTAACATTTATGTCACCATTCATTCAGCTATTCAATAAAATGATCTTTTATTTATTTGCCTACAATATATATTGAGCACCAGTTATATGCCAGGCATTGTTATAGGTTCTGAGGATAGAGCAGTGTCCAACCCAGACAAAAAGCCCTGCTCTCATGGAACTTACATTCTAGTGGGAGGAAGACAGACTTTAAATAAATAGAACAACACGTGTGAGGTCGTGATTAGGAAGCATGGAGAAAAACAAAGCAGGGGAGGGAACACCTTTGGTGCGAGCAGATAGTTGGAGTTTTAAATATCAGGTCAGAGAACGCTTCCTGAGGTTGTAGCATTTGAGCAAATACCTAAAGGAGTGAGGAAGTGAGCGTTGGGGCTATCTGAGGGAAGAATGATAATCTGTAGAGGGAGCAGCAAGGGCAGAAGCCCTGAGGTAAGAGTGTGCCTGGCACATCTGAGGAGCAGCAAGGAGGCCAGTGTACACAAGGGGACAAGCAGTGGGAAATGAGGTCAGAGAAGTTTACAGGGGACTGGATCATATAGGGACGTGTGAGTAACTGGGCGCTTTAAATTAAACTAAAGGGCATGTGAAGTCATTTGTGAGTTTTGAGCAGAAGACTGAAAGTATAAGACAAACTTTTTTTTTCAAGATTTTTATTGGGGAATTGGGATGGGAACAGTGCTGGGGAATTGGGGGAAGGGGAACAGACAATTTGCTGTCCTTTTGTTCTTCAGTCTAGTTGTGGAGGACATTGCTTCACTGGCCCAAGTTGGCACCATCATTGCGC